TTGTTTATTTATTGTGTTCTGCCTTCATATATGCCTGCTGGCCAGAAGAGGGCACCAGATCTCATTACAGATGGTTGTGAGTCACCACGTGGTTGCTGGGAATTGAACTCAGGACCTCTGGAAGAACAGTCAGTGCTCTTAACCTCTGAGCCATCTTTCCAGCCCCCAGTATTATGATTGTGAGTTACGGATATTATTAAATATGCTTTAATGAGATGTTTTCAGATACTGAAGGACATGAATATGAAAATTGAATACAGTATCATAAAGTATTATTTGATTCTTAAAAGAGTCAGTATTTTAAAAATACTTTATACATAAGTGTAAATTTTAATTAATAAAAAATTTTAAGGAGACAATAACATCAATTAGATACATGGTTCAAGTCATGGATTTTTTGTGTTTCTGTGGAGTGAGAATTCTAAGACAAACACAGCAGAGACTCATTCTCTGGCGCTGGGATCTCGTTCGCGGACGGCTTCAGCAGTAAAACAAGTTCTTTATGAACTTCTGCACATACAAAAATGTTCATATCAGAATGACCTGTTTTTATGAATCCTTAAATTGAATCTAATTCTAAAGAGCAACAAAGGCTCAGTCACGGGTTTCCACTCTGTCCTGGGGTACCGGGGCTGCTTGGTTCTGGGAGCTTTACTCTGACTTTTCTTCTCTTCTTTTGCCATGAATATTCCTGAGAGATTCAGTGAAGTCAAGTTCCTAGCATTCAGCATTCTGGTGTTCTGCAGGGTCTGGGTCACCTTTCTCCTTGTGTACCACAGCACCAAGCAGAAGGTCATGGTGACTGTGGAGGTCTTCTCCATTTTGGTCTCTAGTGCGGGGTTGCTAGGGTGTATCTTTGTCCTAAAGTGTTACATTATTTTGATAAGACCAGATTCAAATTCTTTTCAAAAGTACAGATATAAATTGCTTTATTGAAACTTAAATAGCTTTAAATTTTTAGATCATATATAATATATCTTTCTCCTTTGTCTAAACAAGAGTACCACGAAGCTATACAAAAATCTCAACTAATATACAAAGTTAGTGCTTTCAACATGGGAGAGCCCAGTGTACTATCAATTGCTGAGTTATGGTGAAAATAGTTCCAATCTAAGTACCTCTTTCTTCTTGAGATAATTGTGTATTGTGAAGGAAATTATTAGCATTTCCAGTCTTACCAATGGTGATGTTCTAAGACGATTGTGTATTGTGAAGGAAATTGTTAGCATTTCCAGTCTTACCGAT